AAGTGGGCGTGGTCGGGCTTCGATTAAAAGAAAGGTGGTCCAGGGGGCCAAGCCCCCGAAAATTTTGACAATTTAGGGGTTTCAAAGGCTTATTTAATCGATTTTGGAGTTTACTAATATGTAGAAAATACATATAATTTTTTTTCTCCTCGACGAATTCTGCTTTTTCTCCTCGACGTGGGGGGGGGGGGCAGTTCTTCCCGACGTTTGGGTTTGCTTTTGTATTGTTTTAATGTGATGTTTTTGCTTTTTCTCGTTCTTGTTTTTCTTTTGTACAAAATACGCCAATTTAGCTTTTTGCTACTAATGTATTTTTTTATGAAGGAGTTGAGTTTTTTTTAAAAATAAAGATACCGATATATATATATAAATCAGTGGTAGACGTAAAAAAAAATCGGCAGACAGATAGCCTTCATTGTCGGACAAAAAAATTACAATAAATTTATGCATATTTAATAGTAACAATGTAAAAAAGCAGACATGGTTCAACAATTAATCAAATCATATCAAATTTATTTTACTTGCAACATGAATTTCATACACAATTAAATCAAGTAAATGAACCAAACAAAACGAAGTTGCTGAGCGGGCATAAGCACATATAAACAATTCCCCTATAGATATTAATAATTTTTTTAGAAAATATGGTAAGCATTAATACTACGCAAAACAAACTAAGTTGAAACGTAAAGACTGAGATGTTGAATTAATTGAAAACTTTAAAATATAAATAAATATAAATGAATTGCCAACATAAAGTCACTTTACATGTGAATGTCGGCTTATATATATATATAACAGCAGTGATGATTAGATGAGTCCGGTTGTGTTTAAGAGATGTAGCTGGAAAAGGTTTGATCAACTAAATTGTGATACATTTTGAAACACAACAGAACCTGTGGCGTAAAAGGTATGAGCTGACGATATTCATCAGCATTTTTTATTTCAATCGACCAGTAAGGCATTTTAACAAAATTTTACAAATTGCGTTTTACTTGTAAGTCTGAACAGCAGGGAGAGTGTTCCCTATTCTGCATAATCATTCCATTTTTTTTGTGTTGTTTTGATTTTGTTGGTTTTAATGATTTTGATTATGGTTTTATTCTGGATGCACCATTGATGTGATGTGTGCCGCTGTTAAAAAAAGCGTTTTTCCAAATAAATATTATTAACAGAATGTGTAATAAACATCAATATACGTCCATAAAACGTTAAAACATCGGAGCGGGGGGGGGGGCTTTCCCCTGACCCCGCTGAGCTCTCTACCTTGACCAAGCCCTGGTAGTAGGGCCCAGAGAAGCCTTAACCAGGGCCCATGTCTTTTCCTTACGTCACTGAACTAAACAGATCACTTAACGAATACTGTACATTGAAAGCAAAAATTAATATTATAAACAATGGTTATTTACCTGATAAACCTGTACAAGTAGTTGTTAACACCAAGAAGATATTGAATTTGAAGATGAACATTTTCAACGTTGGCTTAGGCTGCTTCCTCATATAAGATGATAGTATAGATGCTAATGTAACCAACTTAGTCACTCAGTGTATTTTAACACAGCAGTATTAAGACTTCATGCATATTTAATCATTAGAAGGCTTTCAGAAATCATAAGTACAATACCAGAGACAATTAGTCAATGCGTTTAACGAATGACGATATTTACTGCAAGTGTTCACACTGAGTTGATGAGAAAAGCACGGAAGAAGGGCATTGGTGAAATTTAAAAGCTAACATCTAATGTTACCCTTTATGATAAATTGAATACGTTTTGATATACTCTCATTAATATTTAATAAGCTCGGCTTTAAGTCATCATTGCCAATTCAGACTAATGAATTATTCACAGAAAACAATCCTGTAAAATGGATTTTAAAACATAATTCAGGTGAGTTTTGCCTCATTTTAATGTTGCGATGATTGTTGTCGTTTTTCAGCACGAGTAGATTTCCCGTACAAATAAAAATCGTACTTGGTTTATCAAACTGGTGCTATTCAGTATTCTGTATAAAGTATATTACACACTAATAAATGACAGAGATCAACCAAATTTGTATTCAACTTTATTTTCAAAACAACGGATGTACAAAGAATTCAGTCACAAATATTAATTAACATCAATATTCATTAATTAATATAAATATTTATCAATTAATATCAATATTCGTTAATTCTCTTACACAATGCTAAAGAAATCTTATCGCATCAAAAAGTAACGTAATCATCAAAAATCAACATTTATACCGAAAATAAAAGAATGTTTAATGTTGCATGCTTTTAGATTATATAACATACCTTTAACCTTGCAGTAAGAACTCCGTATTTATTCGAAAAAACGCCCCGTTTGAATAAACGCACCCTCTAAAGCCTCATTTTGAATTAACTCCTCCCTCGAATAAATGCCCCGAGGCATTTACAGTATTTATTCCTTCAATTAATTCCCTCCCTTAATGACCATAAACAAATCTAATAGAAGCAACATCATTCTCAAACTCAAGTAGAATTACATTTTTCTAACCTGGTTGGGATCAATAACTCTATGATAACATATTTTGACAATAATTTGGTAATAATGTGTTGTTCCACATTTACAGTGAAATTAAGGGGCGATAATACGAGCAAGTATCCATTTTACACAAACACACCCACACACACATAAACACCTCTCTCGAATTGACGCCTCCTCGAACACCTTTCTCAGCAATAAATGCCCCAGGGCGTTCATTCGAATAAGTACGGTAAAAAGTAAAAAAAAAATTGATTCTAAAAATGAAGAAATAATACAAAGGTCCTCTTGGTTTGAATAACAGACAAGTTGAATCACTGCTTGCAGTCATACATTTTCTATGCAACAAAATAATTAACTTACCTTAAAAATGTCTGATCACTACTATTCTAAATGACCATGCAGATTTAAATATCCAAAATATAATACTTCATTCAAGCAGAATTTTGATTTCAACTAAACAGCAAAGTAATATCCATAAGAACATAATACTCACTTACAGCTGGCATACATCGTGTTATTTTTTTTATCCAAAGGTCCTTGTTACTTTTTAGTAGTCCCACAAATACAAAATTTGAATAGCTATAGGCCTAATAACAGAGTTCACTATTTATTGTACATATATAAAAGTACTCACCTACACATTATTCCTTTTGAAAACACAGTACTTGATATTTGTGTACATTACAAGTGTACTGTAAATGCTCAAATAAGCGCCGCTCCCGCACCAGAGTATTATCTTACCGTGTTTAATGAAACACTTTCAGTAACAGGGATTTAAATACGATACATAGTGTGCTAAAATGAATAAATAACACAATGAAAACAAAAGTATTTTTAGTTGTTTTGTGGGACAATATCTAAGGGCCGTGGCTTTGAGGAAGGTCCATTGGTATTGGTACTCACCTTATTCCCCATGCACATACAGTACACATTATCTAAACTGACTAAATCCTCTTTTATGCATTCAAAGAGTACGATACTCTCAAAGACTGCTGTTACTTACATACACACACTGCTAGGTGCAGAATAAATAAATATACAGTGTAGCAGTACTACACTTAACTGGGCATATTATGTGCACCAAGTTTGCTGGAGATAGGCCTATGTATGTGCACTGGCTTCTTCACTGGACATTGTGCAAGTGCACGGAGTGTGTTTACTATGGACATGTATGTTGTGTATACTTAAGCCCTCTAGAAACTATCAAATTTTATTTATTTATTTATTTTTTTTTTTGATAGTGTGGATAGAGCACTACTAACCAGATAATGAATATAAATCAAATGAGAAATATACATTTATTATGAAAACAAACCAAAACACTCACCATGTAACCAAAAGGTTCATCTTGCATTACATCTGAGGCATTCTGTTAACTTATTACACTGTATATCTCTTTTATCTGCAAACACATAGTCTAGTATTTTACAAACAAAAATATTAATTGGGAAATTCAAGATATTTTACTCCGGAATAAATGAAGCATTTGATGATTTATCAACACAGTGGCACAAAGAAATATTAATATTTTTGCTGAACATTGGTTGACTCTGATTTTTAAAATTTTTTTGAAGAGTAAAGACTGTTTTTGTTGATGAGTTATGTTCTTATTTGATGAATATGTTCTTAGTGTTGCAAATATGTAAAACTTGTTCATGAACAAATAAATATATACCTTCCCTTAAAACTATGACAATACAGTAATAAAGAACGTTATTTTATGTTAATGTTTTTTAATACAGTAAAATTGTATATACTAAACACATCCAGATAGTTAATAATGCTAATATCCTATATGATGTAGAACTGTCCCTTTTAAAGTTTAAATCTTTATGCATTATGATGAACAACTGTCATGTTGGTATTGAACAGGAAATGGAAAATTATTTTTAGATTCTATTTTAAACATATTTTGAATCATTTTATACATTTTTATCTGACATATATTCTACAGCATTCCATTTTTTTAACTGCTTTGATACAATGTGTTTTAATTAAGTTCTAGTTTTAAATGCATTTTAAGTTTTAGGTCTACATAATTGTACAATTTATTGTGTTAATTATGTTTTTCTATTGGTCTTGTTTTCTAAATAATGCAAAAAATAAAGTTTCAATAAAGATTATTATTATCACATATTAGGCCTATATTTAAGATGGTGTAATAGCATTGTTTGAGGAGGAGGAAAAAAACCGGAGGTTCAATCATGATTTGAGACTGGGAAGTTGCTCAAGTATAAGAAGTCACAAGTTTTAGGAATAGAGATATAAAAATTGCAATCATGTTCATATTTCTTTGTGCCAAATATCAATCAGTTACTTTGTTCATGACCAATTGTCAAATATGTAAATCACACCTTTAAACAGCCTTTGATAATGTACTCACAATCACCAGTTAGGATGGCATTAGTGATATGGAAATATTCACCAAACATCTTAGCTCTTCTCAAAACCTTATCCAATTTGACAAGCAGTCTCCAGATCGTATCACACAATTTGACATAGCAGCTTTCCAATTCAACAAGCAGTCACCTTACACTGAGGTTCTTGTGAAGGGGGAGTTACCCATCCTTACAACTTCTCCTTATTAAATACATATCATTTTCCTGATAACATCTGATCCTTGAGCCAATACTTATTTACACTATCAGATAACATAAGTATATACTATAAGTATAAGCATATGCTCAGATTATAATCATTAGACAGTGAAATACAGTGTAAAGGAATATAGTCTACTTTCAATGTTTGGTAGAGTTGACTGACATATTAAATGAAACTACCAAATCAATGTGATTCTTCATGTACAGTATATATGATCTATACAGTATAACATCACAATAAAAAAAATGTAAAAGTCTAAAGCAACAACTGTTAAGATACACACAACCAAAGGAAATTATTTTTAAATAATTTCTAATGAAAGAAAAATTGTTAGAAATATATTTTTTTAATGAAACACAGGTATAAATTCAAAGGCAGCTTCTACAAAATAATTACACACAAGACAAACCGGGCAAAAGCAGCAATAGTAGTTAGGCCTTCAACCATTGCCAACTAAACATTTGGTTTGTGTCTAATAACTGATTATTATAACAGGTCATCACTTTACATTGTCAAAGACTAATAATTACAAGAATTCATTTTGCTTTCTTATTTACAAGATATTCACCAGATGTGGGACAATTCAATTTTATAGACACATTTTTGAATGTCTACTGCCTAATACTGGTAGTAACATTAAGAAAAATACATTTATAGGGATTCATAACTGCTGTATTGGATACATTGAGGGAGCTATTCATACAAAATAAGTTAATTGGAGCCTATGATACATTATCATGTTCGTTATGCTCCAATGATTCTCTTTCATGGACAATAGTGCAAACAATATAAAGCGGATTTTAATTTTTGTGCTTGCTAACTTCCACAACATACAGCAAGTAATGTATACTACTTTATTTGGCCAACTTATACTAACACTGCATCAACATAAACGTATTTGTTTTGTGATGCACATGACACTTTTTAAAATACCTTCCCAATAAAAACACTAAATAATATCACAAATAGTTCTGATAAAGATCAAAAGCGCTTTCCTCGTCCACGACCTCTTCCCCAGCCTCGAGCTCTGAAACCACCTCTTCGTTGTCCTGTGGGAATTACAATATCATTCATAAGCCCACAATTTAATGTGTGCCGTATTGAAATAAACACCCTGGCCATTTGTTTTTCAGAATGGTGTAAAGAATGGCAATTCTTCCATCAGTTTTGTTCATGTACATTTGAGGGGGGGGGGGGGGGGGGGGGTAAGGGGGTGTTAATTGAAGAAAACAAACTTTGGCATGTATATTCGAAGGAAGTGGTAATTCCAAATGACTTTTAGAAGGGTGTTTAGTTAAAGGAGGGGTGTATTCAAAATGGGTGGTTATTTAACAAATACATTACTGAATACATAATTAGGGAGCTTTTGATTGGACGTAGAATGTAATGACTTCACTAAAAGTCATCTGTGCACTTTAATTTCTCCTCATCGCATGGACTCTAGAACACAATTTGGCCAAATCTATGTAAGCAGAAAACGTAGGACACCCCGTAGGACAGTCAAGGATGAGTGATTCCGTTCCAGAGTTGCATCGTCTCACAAATTAAAAGCTCCCTAATAGCAATAAATGAACATCAGAGATTACTCACCACCTTGAGTGAAGTTATTGCCGTAATTTGCATCACCTCCTACCGGTGCATTACCCGCCTTTGTACTGTAGCGACCACTGGGTGGGTGGTACACCTGTCGTGCTCCTCGTTGCTTATTGCTTCCACTTTCTGCTGCCTTTTTCGCAGATCCCGAGTCTGAAAATGTGATTGGGGTAATGTTTCCCCTCTTGACACTGGATTAAAAAAATAATAATAATTTGTTTTTATTAAATTTTTTTTTAAATATTTTTATTTTATTTTTTTTAATTTTCAAGTATTTCTTACCCCTGTTGTTGTGTCTGCTCGGATACAGATTTCTGCAGTGGTTTCCATGACAATGTGATGATGCTTCCATAACTCGGAGGGTTACGGAACAAGTCCTGAAGAAAATTATATATAAAAAATTTAAAAAAAACTCAGTGGTTAGCTAATGTTACCAAATAGTGGATGAGATATAATATTTTCCAATGTTAACAAAAATAAATTAAAATACGGTTTTAGTTTTACCTTGATGAGGGTGTTAATGTTGGTAGTTATTTTGAGGGCAACAACTTTGATCTTGTTTTCATCAGTCTTCAGGTCCTCTCCAGTCTTATCTCGCAGATCTGTTCTCAGCTGCTTCATGTACACCTGATTGCCACGAGCAAAATACTGCAATCTACAAAATTACCACTAATATAATAAATATGGCAAGCTGAGTGGCAGAGCGGTAAAGCAGAAGCACCGCTAATTACAGCCTCAACATCAGCGCTAGTTTGAGCCGCTCCTCACCCAGCGTTTGGTTGGTAGAACTAAGTCTTCTCAGATAAGGACTTAAAATGGATGTCCAGTGTGCACATCTCGCTTGTGTGCATATTAAAGAACTCATTGCTTCTTTTGGAAAAGTAGGGGGTTACCCTGATGTTATAGTTCAATTCAGTCCGTCGTTGTGGAATGATGTAAACATGTACTACTATAAGCACCTCTTTACGGCGGCTAGGTAGTCATGGACCACACCCATACACAGTTTAGCACAATGAAGTTCTAGGTTATTCTCCGACCTTTACTGTTATTTTATTGGATTTATTTTGAAACAGCGCCAACGTCTCGCAACTCACTGGGGGATGACTTCCAATGGCCTAGTATGAGCAGCTGGCTAGTTACAAATAGAGCACCGCGCAGCGGAGAGCGCGGCTAGATCTTTGCTATAGCAGCAGTAGACCACAGATACAATCTTGCTAATTACTGTAATTGCTGTATATGTAAACATTGAAAAAGCTTGACTTGTTTTTAATATGAATATTTCATGCTTTTTCCGAATATTTATGCTCGTTATTAATTTAGTTTTATTGTTGATTTAATCCATGATAGTAACTACTTAGAGCAAAATGCTAGGCTTCTGAAAGTCCCCCAGTGGTAGCTGCCAGGTTATCGGAAATTTTTATTTCAAATTTCGCGAAAATGGTCTACAGCGCATTACAATCCTAATGATAAATCTAGCTGAGGGCTTTGAGTTCAAAAACATTTTTCTCATAAAAATCTATCATTTTTTTACTGATGAAATGATTCTACATATGGATTTGAATATCATGTGATAATAAATATTAATGTGTTCCATATTTGTTTGATCCAATGACCGGGGGTAATAATGTGAAGTGCTCAGAGGCCTTGTTGGCATGAACAGCTAGGTCTTATTATTTTTATTATCTTCTTCATAATCCACATGAGCACTCCCCACCCCCAATCAACCATACTACAATGAAACCTCCCATACCAAAATGAACCATCTCATAAAACAATAAAACCTCACACACCACAATAAAACTGTCCAATACAACAATGAAATCTCCCATACAACAGTGAAACAGCCCATTCCACAATAAAAACTCCCTTACCACAATGAAACCGCCCTGTACCACCACAATGAAACCTCCCACACCACAACAAAACCCTTGCATTATTTACATGCAAGGATGCACCAACAGTCTGGAAGTCAGAAAAATGTGCTGTCTTATGCAACATTTTATCTTTGTCTTCAAAATTTAAGTAACTAACCGTAGACGGAAGTCTTTTAATCTGTCAACGTTCTCCTCAGCTGTAAAGAAGTCTGGACATTTTTTTCCCATTTGATGGAATGTATACATTAAACATTCTACTATTGAAAACTGTAGTTTGGGTTCTTCAGTCATTTTGCCATTTTCCCCTTCCTCAACTTCAGGTGGGGGAAGGGGCATATACTCCTATAGGAATAAGAATGAAAATTTAATTTTACTAAAAATTGTATTTGCTTATTGTTACAAAAGTTCTTTCCATAGTTAGCTGAAAAATTTGAGGTTCAATACAAAATTGACAGATTAAAATTATTGATCGTACCAATAATCCATTGTACACCTTCTCTAAACATCCCCTGTCTTCATAATCTCCACAGTAAGTAGATATTTCAGCAAATAACTTCAAAACCTCCAACTTAACGTCTGTACCCTCTGGTCCAACAATCTCCCCAAGAAACGGAATCACTTTATTAGATATGTGCTCCAAAAACTTGGTTGAATGCACATTTTTCTAGAACAGAAAAATAATTAGAAAAAAAATGTCTGTAATTATAATTAACTACTGGGCTGGAATGGTAGCTTGGTGGTTAAGATAACTGATTTTTAAATTGCAGAGTCCTGTGTTCAAATCCTGTGAGAAATCAGATATTGTTTTCCTTATTAATAACAATTTTACTCCGTAGACATTGTATTGTGCTCTTCTGTAACTGTCGAGTGTAGGCCCTACTTGCTGTTATGTGCGTAAGAAATTGCTCTAAATGTTTAAAATACTAATTGCAATAACATTGTCTATAATTTAAAAAAAACAGTCGCATAATAATAAAATGACTTATTTTTGTATACCTTGGTAAATGAGGCCTGATGTTACCATCAATAATGATGAGATGCGTCTACAATATATTTATGTTTATTTAATTTATAAGCCATTAAATAATTGCATCTAGGGTTATAGTGTGAGCCACTTCACAACCTGTCAACAGTATAAGCTGGGTTAACTAAGAATGGCCGGCCGAGATTGGTCAGCCATGGTTCAAACTCTCGACAACAAGGTTCATAACCTGAATGGAAATCGCTACGCCAAACCGCTTTACCCAAGTATTCAAAGATTCATTCCTTAATTTGTATCTACATAACAACTATCAATCAATATAAACAAGTAGGTTGAGTGAAAGTGTTTTACTTACTGAGAAGAATGGAAGAGCCTGTTTGATACATTGGGTAAGTTTATCAACACAATCTGCATCAGATGGCTAAAACAAATTAAAAAATTATTATAAATAAGTATAATTATACATGGAATGTCATATTGGCAAGCAAATAAGGTAGGGATGCCACAACCTACAGTATTCTAGATCCGCCTCTGTCTACCGCTTGGCAGTCTCAAGGCAAAACAACATAACTGCTATTATATTTTTGAACAGTTATGTTGTTTTGCCTTGGAACGGCCGTGCTGACATTGAATGAAAGGAGTGAGTTGATGCTGGTAGTGGTGATTTTGACAATTTATATGTCATTCCAGTCCATTTGAGTTTGAAAAATGAAAAAGAAAAAGAAATGGTTACAGTACTTACAACAAATTCAGCCTTGAGGTCGGCCTGCTCGATAGCAATGTCCACTAGCTGTTGACGGCCCAAGAGTGTTTGCATAGTCGCTAAACTTGATAACAACTTCATGAAGGCTACAAACTCATCACCAGTAACATCGTGTAAGATCTATAGTTAAGTGGTTATATAATGCACATCTGGTCATTCATACTTAGGTTTGACATATAAACCTTTACCTACAATTTACTACTAGTTTGTGTTTACAAAGTCGAATTGATCTCTGTGACCTCACTTTTTGGATGCCGACGACGACTAGGTTTATATGGATGTTAACAATATAAACAAAAATTACAATGTGGTCAGTATTTAAATTGAATTCTCGATCTTCATCAATTTTCATAGTGATGATTGAATTTAATGCCGTGTTGGATGCCACAATGCAATCTGCAGTTGATTTTAAGGGGTGTCTAACCAAGTAAACTTCCCACAGCATTTTTTTGTACTGTTCACAATTCTAAGTTCAGAATCGTCTTGGAGTTTTGTGCCATTATTATTTAATATAGAGTCACTGTTTGAAATGTGGTTACCAATTCTTGCATTAAAGTCCCCCATAATCATTATATAAGGATCTATTCCATTACAGTTATTATTTTCTTTAATTTTTAAGGTATCAACAAGTAGTTGGTTATATAATTCATCAGTGACATAATTATTTCTACCTTCATTTGGAAAATATGCGACACATATATACATAGGACATGCTGCATTTTTCCGAATTATAAGACTTCACTTTTATCCACATTCTTTCTTTTTCATCAGATTGTGAATCAAGAAAATTATCGTCAGCTAACCTTCTCTAATGAGGAAGCCAATACCTCCTCCATCTGGTTTGTCTTCCCATTTTCTATTCTTACCAATCCATTCCATTTATATTTAGGAATGTAAGCTATTTGTTCATCTTTTAAAAAGGTTTTCACAATTCCAATTATATGAATGTTATTGTTGTTAGTCAATTTGATAATTTCAATCAAACTGCTTTTAATTCTATTAACACTATTGTAAGTGATATTAATTTTTACATTGTTAGTGGAGTGTTTACTACTATTTTTCTACACCCTCTTCTATATCTATAATACTTTTTATATTTACTTAAATTATTAGTATGGCAAGAAAACAATGAACTAAAATCAATAATTACCTCTTTGGATTTCTCAATCAGATGCTCTTCCACATCTTTAGTTATTATGTCTGGTCCTAGAGACTTGACCTTTGTACTTAGGAACTTGATTGCTCTATCACGTACAATATCCTCTCCTGCTGAAATTTGGGCAAATAGACCACCTATGGCACCTGAAAATAATTTAAAAAATGAAATAATATATCATTACCTTACTTAAAAATTATTATTATTATTTTATTATTATTATTACCTACTGTAATGAGATTTCCCAATGCAAACACCTCCTCAAATAAATTAATACAATTAATTAAAGATAAATATGGCATCTGATTAAAATATTTCCTCCTCTTACCCTTAGCATCTAATTTGAAGACTGCGATGAATGCATTTTGTACGCAATTAAACTCCGCCTGATCTTCTGACTGGAGAAGTTGTGTGAGGACATCAGCAATACGTGGAAGGTGATCAGGTGCATCTCTGCACAGGTTGGGCAATTCCTTTATTGCTTGTCTACGAAGCTAGAGACAAATGTTTTGTATAAATTTCCAAGATTATTTTCAAGTTTAAGATATACAATATCTTTATATTTAATCACAAAAATGTTATTAATCAGGCCCGTATTTAGGAATTTCAATGGGGGGGGGGGCTGTTCGGCTTGGGACTATGCGGAACTTCTTATCAAAACCCACATACTTCTTCTTCTCTGCCCTAAATGGGGACTTTATTCAGTGTGATAGGCCTCAGGCCCTTTTACAGTATAAATAAATATACATTTTTAGTGCTTTAAATAAGGCGAGACTTTTT